GGGAAGCTGACAAGAAGCCAGGGTAATGCGACTAAGTAAGCTGGTTTCACTGTCGAATCTTAGCAAAGTACAGAGGAAAGGAAAGACTCTCCAGGGTGCATAGCACATGTAAAAGTTTGGATTTGGGTCAGTCACAAAAGGTGCTGCTGCACATAAGGATTTGTAAATTTTTTTCTTGAATCTCAGCAGCAAACACTTCTGTAAGGTGGGCGAGGGGAAGCTGACACACACTGCTTGGCCATAGGAAAATTGTTTGTTTGGTTGAAGACTGCCCGATAACTTCCAGAGGGACTGCTTTTCTGTCACTGAAAGGCTACCAGAAATGGGTGAATGGAGCACCGGCCCTCGGCATCAAGTCAGAGAGGGGCATCAGAACAGCAGCCCCCGGGGGAGTCTGCACCACTGCAGTAACGGCAGCCAAGTACAGGGATGCCATACTGCTGCTGTAGCAGCAGCAACTCAGCACAAGCAGCCTGAGTCCCCCGGGCAGGTAAAACTCACCCCCATACATCCACCCACATCAGTCTCAGGCACTTGGCACCCCTTTCCAGCAGAGTTTTGCCTAGGACACAAAGCTTCACAGTTACACATCTGATGATTGCTAAGGAAGGACTGGGTAAAGAAAGAGGCCATTAGCGGCACTGTGTTTGTTGAGCCTTAGCTTGGCATTCCCTACCAGATTCAAGCACGCATGGAGAACTGACCAAGCAGTCAAATTCAGTGTTTGCCAGCATAAAAACTCCTCGGGATTGACTAATAAGCGTCCTGCTCTGAACTGTCCCCACACACTGCATATTGGAGCTGCATCTAAACAAAACTCACAAATGCAGCACAGATCTGTAAGATTTCAAATATTTTTCATTTTCTTTGTTTATACAATAACTTGTGCCATGAAAACCTCTTCTCCCAGTTCCATCAGCACAAAGCCAAGCTGACACCATTGATTTCAGCAGTAGAACTGAAGCAAAATTTAGCCTGTAGTCTTTTGCTTCAGGTTAGTGCTATTCATTGGGCCTGCTCTGGCCCTCGTTAAAGTCAATGGAAGCTTTACGGCTGACTTTAACAGGATCGTGGTCAGGGCTGCCCAGTATCAGTTGCACTGCCTATGCCATTTTCCTGAGCTCTTTGTGTTGTTTCATCCTTTGGCTGAAAGAAAAATGTAAGATTATGAATGGCACTTGAAGTAGAGGGGAACTTCCCCAGGAATTCAAAAAGGAAGAAGTCTGGTTAAAAGGCTGTGAGGAAAAGAACTGTGCTCATTACCTACTAAGTATTTACATTTTGTAACATTATCTGGACCACTAAAAATCTGACCTTTCACAAAGGAGAAAAAAGCATCATTTTTAAAGAAGGAGCTCAGAGACATCACAAACAAACGTATCTACATTGCTCAGACAGGCTGTAGCTTGTCCCAATCAAAAGGTTTTTAAATATCATAGGCACACTTCATCAAGGCTGTTCATTTTGGGTTTGCACTTCACCCAGCTTGCCCAATGAAACAAACTCACTCAGTTCCCCCATTTCTAGATTGGAGGTTTGTTTTTATATAGTCAAATGTACGTCCATGGCTCAATAGCAGAAAAAGGAACCCTTCTTCCTGCTGTTATGTTTCTTTTAAGCATGATTTCCTTAATTACAAAAATCTTTCTGCTTTTACTAGTTATCTAAAAAGTTCAAGTTAAGCACTGATTGAGGGGGGAGGCAGTTGTTTCTAGGACTGTTCTACAAGGCCCGTTAGAAAAGGAGCAACACTTTATTCTACTAAAATTGATTATTTCCTGATTCCGGACCAGGGAATACCTCAAACATTTAAGCTAAGAGATCTAAAATTTCCTATACAAATGAGCCAGGCAGCCATGAAAGGAAGCAGTGCCAGAGTATCTTAAAACAGTGCTGCCTGGGCCTTCAAATGGATAGAGGTCTTTTTTTTTTCCTTGTCATTGTTTTAGCCAAATTATTGGTAGCATTTACTGTAAAGCTCTTTACAAAGCCTGCGATTCTTTATAATCCTCAAAATACTGGTAATGAAAATAAAATACGATGATCACTTTGCCCCTCAGGGCCATATCCAACTCCTGCTGAAGTGGACCGAAGCCTTTCCACTGCCTTCCACAGGAATTGAAAATCAGTGGGCCAGATTCCCAGCTGGCGCAAGTCCGGGCAGCTCCACTGAGACCAGCTGACATCCTGCCCTGTGAAGTCCAGAACTGATTATCTGGAGGACAATGAACAAACCCTGGCTCTGACTATGTCTCCCTCCGAGGAAGCAGACATGCTCTACCATCTGCAACTTACTGAGGCTTCCCAGCTGCTTGATGATGGCAGCCAGGGTGCTGTTGGTGACACATTCCAGCTCACTGGTCACCCCATCGGGAAGCGCCCCGCGGCACAGGTGACGAGGCTCGATGTTTCTCTTCACCAGCGGCATGTTTCCGGGGAATTGTCACAGCTTTCCCTGCAAAGAAGCAGAAAGAGGGGAGAAGTCAGCTTGTCTGGAACCCTCTGCCATCGAAGGAATCCTCCTAGCAGCTGCCCTTTTATCGCAGGGAACAGACGTCTCTGTTCGACCTGCCTCCAGCACAGTTCTCAAAATAGGCCTCTGCCATTTAGCTGCTGAAGCAGCAGTTGAGCCTGGCTGAGCTCCGCTGTGCAGGGAGCTCTGTTTCCCTTCCTCCTGTGGATCTGTCAAGCTCTCACTTCACGCGCTGTAATAGTCTGAAGGCCATGGGCATGTAAATGAATGGCAGCTGACGTGCAGGAGCCGCCATGTCTCTGGGAACTGCCCAGACAATGCGGTTTTGCAGCTCACGGAACTAAGCATGTGTGCAAGACGAGAGCACGCGAACGCACAACTCTCTGACTAGGCTCCGTTTCCACAGCATCGGTCCATACACGTCCACGCGCTCAGAGAGGAAGGTGGGTGGCTGGACCGCGTTCCCACGGAAGGAGCCCGTGCACAACTGAGGGGGAAGGTTTCTTTCTAGCTGCTCGTGACTTTGAATGTTTAAAGCCACAAGCTTTAACAATAGAAGCGTAATTAATTTTAAGTGAATTTAGCACTAACAAAAGACACCAGACTGACAGCCCTAGAAACCACACTTCACTCTCCAAGAATAGGTTCAGTGCCAACAGCCACAGGGCAAACCCTTCTCCACCCAGTCCTCCCAGCAGGCCTCCGCTCGGCTCAGCAGATCTCCAGAGGGCAGAGATTCCTCATGAGGCTGTGGCCCATTCAGTATTCAGCCTGCCTGGTGAGACACTATTGAGGAGCCCATTCAGTCTTGCTGAGGACATCACCCGTATGGAGACCAAACCATCCTCAAACGGTAACTGCGCCCTGACACCGACCTTACCCTTTCTGTATTCTAAGCAGAGCCCTAGGACTGTAAAGCTCCACATGCCCTCACCCAACCCTTGAGCTGTCCAGCTCGTATCCTCGTCTCTTGAAAAGCCTTATTTGACCCACACTGAAACCAACCATCGGGCATAATTCTGTTATTTCCAGCTGGGTGGAAATCTCTTTGGTTTTCACTTTTAACAAGCGTGCTACAATCCACCAATGTGAGTTGTCTGCATCCACCCTGCCCTCTGCCAGCACATCAAGCCTTCAAAGGCATTTTTGTGCGTTGGCTATTTCCAATTGTTTTGTATGTGTTTCGGATCCAAATGCTCCCCCCTTAGCTTTTTCCTCATCTGAACTGGGTTATTGTCCATCCGTTACAAGAGCCCAGCTGCTTAGAATGGAAAGCAGCGCATAAATCCTGCTCACACAGTCTGCCAGTTCAGCGATAGCCCGGAGCAATGAGCACACTCTATTAACTGTTATCATCACACACTGGCAGGGAACCAAGGGACTGCAGAAGAATCAAGGGGCGTTTAATTTTCTGATGGGTTCAGTGAAATGCTGGGAGATCCCAATGTTAAGTAAACCTTAACAAGCTCATTTCCCATGGCCTCGTACCTCCCCTTCCTGACTGTAACATACAAAGTTCCTGTCCTGAGACTCTGGACAGGACAGGAACTGGTTACGATGAACAAGCTGAAACAGTGCGGGACAGATTTGTAGATGGAAAGGCTGGAGAAGCCAATACCTTAATAAGGGCAAAGCTACATCATTAGCATAAGGAACAAATGAGCTAGTGATTGTGGCAAAAATTAGCGAAGTGTCTAAGCAGATATGCATGGGAATATTTAAGCAGAAGGAAAGGACATTTATCATAAGCTAAAAAGTACATTACTGTATATTATTTAACTACATGCCAGCACATTAATTACTTCACAGTCAGGTAACAAGGGCCCTGTGTTCAGCAGCTTACAACCTCAGGGCCCAATCCTGAGCTCATTCACAACAGTGTATATCAGGCTTCACTACACTATAGCCCATGGATTTACACTGCTGTAAACCTACCAGGAGAGGAGAATCAGTCCCTGAAGGGACAGTATGGAGGCAAACAAACAGCTCACAAAAAGCAAAGTACTGGAAGAGTGGCATTTAGTTTTCTTTAGTTTCATGATTTTTTGGGAGGGAGTATTTTTTTTTTTAAGTACGTTTTCTGTTGACTGTTTCATCACTTTTTCTTCAGGAAAAGGGAGACTGAGAGCCCAGCATTTACAGGCATCCTGGAGAAAGTCAGTGGAGCAGGGAGCTTGTAGGCATGTCTTTTGCAGCACAGTCCAGAACTCAGAGGATGCTGCATTAGCAGTAACTCACAGGCCTGTGGTCATTCCAATGTAAAAGTTCTTCTTGACTTGTGCACAGCTATGGGTTACCTTCCACGCAAGGTCAGGGACAACATGGAAATCAGCATTTATTAAATAAGGTGATGCCACAGAGCTCAAGGGACTGCTGCTGTGCTATGGTGACTCTCACCTTGAGGTCACTGGGTCAAATCCAGCTTAAAATTGGTGATGATCTGACACTCTTACACAAGAGTCCTGTGGTGTATGTGAAACAAGTCTAGTCTCAGGTTTTTTTCCCAGTAGAGGCATCCAGAGAGCTAAAAGCAGCTATAGCTGCTGACAAAATCTAGATCCCTTGCTGGCTAGACTCAGTCAAGAATTGAGAGTTTAATAGGCTATCAAAAATGAACTCCTCTTTCACCTCCAAAAGTCACCCTTTTGTTACTCCAGGGCACAAGTAAGGATTCTTGCTTCCACCGTTTTTCAATGATCTCCCAAATCTTGGCTGATACAGGCTTGAGTACAAATACATCATTCAAGTGATTTCAACCAAGCTTACTGCAAAGCTAGCCATCCCCTATGCTTTGAGAGCAAGAAAGAATTCCAGCAATCAAAAGATCATCTTTTTGCTTTACATTGGTAAGCGTGTTCAAGATGTGCTCCAAAGCATCATCATAAAGAAATCTCTTCTGCTTTTGCATGACTTGCACTGCACAGGAGATTAATGGTGGAAGGAAAGAGCTTAGATCTACAAATATTCTCTTTGTGTGTGTGTGTGTGTGTGTGTGTGTGCGCGCGCACGCGCACGCGTGCGTGTGTGCGTGTGTTAAACTCCATTTTAAAATAATATATTGTTTTGTACATGAAGATATATAATTGGCCCAGCTGAGCTTAAGATTTGTGGAGCCCGAAGTTGCCGGACAGGCAGATTCAGTTATGAGTTAATTCTTTCTCTGAAACCAAGCCAAAAGGAGCTGAACAATGAATTATCTCTCCTTGCCATGCAGGGTTGTGAGCTGAGGGAAAAAGCAATTTCCTCCAACCCCACTGGTAGGATCCAGCCAGCCTGTGAAGTGGGAGCCTGTGCACAGGTCCAAACAATTTTTACATTGTTTGCAATTAAAGTTGGTCCTGACAGGTACCAAGTAATCTGAGCTAGCTTGCAACATATGATCCAAATTCTCCCCTCAGCTACACCACTGTTGTCAATGAAGCTAAGCCTCCTGATTTGCATCCCAAGACTTCCTGTGGGGACACCCGTGTTGTTAACAAAATCCAGTTATATTTTTGCAATGAAGGAAAAACAGCTTACAAACTCAACTGTTAATGTCAGGGTGAGTAGCACAACACTACCAGTGAGTACCAGGAATTCTGACCAGGTCAGAAGCCAGAAAACTGCAAAGTTCAAGTGTTTTTGGTCCTTCAGTGTTAAAAGGAAAACAGTTTCCTATTAATACCACATGGTCAATTTTTCTGCCAGTTCCAGAGTCACACTTTACAACTCACCCTTTGTGCAAACAGTGCCAACTGTTACATAGTTTTCAAATAGAAACTGATTTCAGTGGATGCTGCTACACTGCACCACAAAGCTGTTCCTAAATAATTAATACTGTACTTTATTAAGGGCCAAATAGGGATCTTTGGTCTGAAAATAGAAAAAAATCCTGGGGTGGTAAACCACCTTGCAGATCTGAGTGCAAATTGTCAGACTTTAGGATTTTGTGAGAGCTACACGGCTATTCTGCTGATTCACTGCGAAGGCCAGAATAGGCGAGTCTCATCACTTTCTACTCAGGCATGTAGACAGTTGAGCCTCTCTCTCTCTCAGACATACTGAGGAGCTGGACAGACTGCAAGGAGAAACACTAAAGAAAGCCCAGCTCAGAAAAAGACATTAGTATCTAGATTTATATGTGTATAAATATAGTTCTGCCTTAAAGCTGTGTTACTCAGAATAAAAATAAAAGCAAAGCCCAGAAAAGGAGATGAATTTGGATAACAGCCTCTGCAAATGTGCATTCACACTATGTGTTAAGAGCAGGGCGAGAACTCCCCCCAGCCACAACCCTTTGGAAACTTAGCATATCACAGCATATCTGTAGCTTGGTTGCAGTAATAAACCAGGCATGAGCTCCTTATGCTGTCACACAGCCACATTCTCAGAGCCTCTATCTTGCATTTGTATTAAGCATTAGCACAGCTCTACCTCCTCACTGACTGTGTTGGAAAAGGAAATCTTCAGACTCTCTGCAATAAAATATTCACTTGAATATTTGTGTATGTAATAGATTATGTATACAAATGTAGCCAGAAGTCACTACGGTGACTGAAATACCAGTCCAGACTTGGCTATACATTCTCTAATTCATGGAAAATTAACATAGCTTCACAAAGAGAAGGTTGCTGCCAGGTTTATTTAACCTCGTCTATGCTTTGTTAATGAGTTCATGTGCGTAGCATTGTGATGATGAGGTAAGACATCAAGCATGTTATCATTAGGCCAAATCCTAACAGCCTTATTAAGCTTTTTCTAGAGACTCAAGTCAATGGGAATTTTGCCTGAGTTGGGACTCGGGTCTGAACAAAAGACCTCTAGGATTAGCCATTATTATTTTTTCAGATGTAGTGAAAATGTACAATATCAGAGTGGTCACTTAGTATGAAGTTGGTGGGACAGCCCTATGCAATAGGATGTGAAGCACACTTTCACAGGCTATTAGAGGGAAAAGAGAAGTGCCCTTTAAGACT